GACAAAATATTCTATCTGGCCTGGCCGGATGAAATGAAATCGTCGCAAAGGTCAAGCAAGTTCCCAAGAGCAAGGCCGGCCGGCGCGATGCTTGCCGTAGATTGGGGCATTTTTCTCCGTTGGGCGGGCCCAGGAGACATGCACCAACTGGCCGTGATTCAAGGTGCGTCTGCCTGCAGCAAGCAGCGAGCGGATCAAGCAATGGTCTCTTTGCACTCCTTTGCTTTACCGGGCCTGATGAGTGATGAGTGCCGATGCCCTGGAATCTTTAGGCGGCCCACATGGCAGCGAAACAATAATGTTGTGAGCCTGTTTGGTCCGAGAGATCGATCGGGACCCAAAGTGGGGAACAAATCGACGGCCGAGAGACGAGATGGACCGAGACCGGAGGTCGGAGGTCGTCGCCGGCAGGGTCCACCACTAACGGTCCCCTTTTTAGGGCCGGGCGCCTGCCTGCTGCGTCTGGGGCGTGGGGCCTTTACCCTGTCCCCCACTCTAACGAGAAAAACTGTCTCAACCAACGCACGCCAGCCACTCCTTCCGTCGTCAGACCCACCAGTAAAAGTAAAGGCAGCCTTGCTGCGCCCTGGTAGAGTAGAATAGTAAAAGTAAAGACATGCCTGCCTGCAGCAGCATGAGCCCTCTGCGCCCATGCTTGCTATTGCTAGTGCATGGAGTATTTATGGCGGTGGTGAGGGGAGGTGAGGGGAGGTGGTCTCGCTGCTCCGGCGAATAAATTTTGGCATCGGTGGCCGGTGGTCGGTGCACGGCTGCCCCCGGCGGTGATCTGGATAGTTCCTTCAAGTGTGTACGTGTCAGCTTGGCTTTGGACAGTTATGTCTCTCCATCTGCCTACATATACGTACTCCCGTGTAGCGAAGGGATCTCCCGGGGTTTTTAATTTAGGCACTCGAGTAGTCTAACACTGATCAGTTTCTCTGACCTCTCTGGAGTAGATTAATCTCCAGGCAAGGGTCAAGCAAGCATGTCGTGAAGGGATAACCTAGTGCGCTCAGAACAAGTGAATGAAGAACAAAAGGGTACTGCGGTATGTGTGAACGGGGGTCCTCTGTGCTGTGCACACGCCACGTGAGTGCACGTTCGCGGGGATCTTAACTCGCATACACGCATGTAACGCGGAGATTGATTTCTGGCACTGGCAGCCGGCACAGCTCACGTATCGCGGGCGGTGTTCCGCTGACAGCGAGGTCCACCACGCCTGGGGCCTGGGCCCCTTCTTATCCGAACCGTTGGAAGAAAATGCGAGCCGTTGCGCCGACGGACACGTAGCCGCAGCGGATAGGAGAGGCCTCGCAGCGCGGGGGCCCGGCCTCACACGTCGGGAACTCGATGGATCATGGATGGGGTCGGGACGGGGGATCTCTCCGAGCGGCAGGCCGGCAGCAGGCAGCAGCGCTGCGCACGTACGGTCACATGGGCACCGGCGTGATTTCACTGACATGGGCACCGGCGTGGCGGGGGCATGTGGATGTGGTGGGGTGGGGTGGTTCCGCCTTTCCTTGCCGCCGCGCCCGCGATGAAGGCGATGCCGAGCGCATGCATCGATCGTGGTGGTTGGCGTTGCTGCGGCGGTGTCAGCCTTGCCATGTGAAATCATCCAGTCCCCAGCCGGCCAGCAGCCCTCCTGCTCCTGGACCGGGCTTCTTTTCTTCGCTTTGCTTCCCGCCCTTGCTGCGCTCCGTTTCTCTTCTTTTTTTTCAGCTGTCTTTCGGTCGCGCTGCACGCTTGCAGCTTGCTCTCTTCTGTTTCTCACTTCCCCGCCAACAATCCCTGGTGACCCGCAAATACCATTCAAATCAGGAGCTGAAGGCTGCCACATTCCTTCCCGATTTCCGCATCCAACGAGTAACAACCTTGGCAGGCAACCGCAAACTCGTGTTCGCCTTAAGGATGCCTTTTGTTTCTTTTAGTAGCTCACCTCCTCTGGCTGAGCCAGGATTTGAAGTCATGCAATGTGATTGGTTGGTTTGCTAGTAGTCTTACGGTTTGTGCAGCCAATATTTCTTTTTTTGGTAAATTTCCTTGCTATCACGAGCAAACCGGATTGGCTCGGGGGGCCTGCCCTGGCAAACTTCCCAAGGCCTGTGGCCCTGTGGGTAAGGCAAACTTGCTTGAGCAATAACATGCGAGTCTAGCGAGCTGTAGCTCAAAAAGGTAATTCAACATAAAAAGATGAATACCAAAGTTGTTCAACTCATTAATATCTACAACTTTTATTTTAGTCATCTTGTCATTTGACAAAATTTGAACCTTTCAAATTTAAAATTTTAAAAAGCGACAAATAAGGCTTGGTGATTGAGCCGCCCCTACAGAGATCAACCCCAAGCATGTGAGGCGGCTCAAGTTACCAGCCGCCCCTACATTGCCATCTCTAGAAGGCGGCTGGGCTCTTTGGGGCCGATGAGGCGGCCCAACCCCAGCCGCCCCTACAGTAAAAATGTCCTCGTTCCTGCAGAGAGAATCTGGCGTAGTGGTTACCGATCGTAACTCTATGAGGTGTACACATATATTCTAGTGCTCTCTCCGTTTCAAATTATAAGTCTTTTTGACTTTTTTGTTCATCCATTTTGCTATGTATCTAGACATATTATTATATCTATATGCATAACAAAATGATGTAAAAAAAGTCAAAACGACTTATAATTTGGAACGGAGAGAGGAATGATTTTTTCTTGTCCAATTGCATATAGTCAAAATTTCTCGGGACACATATAAACAAGACAATGACAGAAGCTCAATTATTACATAGACTTTAGTTAGTTTTTTTTTTCCCGAAAAGCCAGGAGCAAGAAATTTGCTCGGCATGTATTAATAGAGAAGGACTTTAGTTAGTTAAGCTTAGAGATAAAGTTCGTTTGAGTTGTACAATGTTGTGCGCTCCTGCTTGATGCGTATTGATCTGATGTGCTTGCTTGCTTGGAGGTGATTTATCCATGTTTTGTTTCTCTCTACCGCTACAGCTAAAACTTTAGGTGTGTTTGATGAAATGCCTGTTCAAGTTGACCTTTTTTTTATATCTTGCAATTGAGCTGAGATGCGCTTGCTGCATAGTGGTGTAACTAGGTGCTAGATCACTAGGTCTAGATTCCCACGAACTAAACATATTGTTGATCTTTTATTTCTTTCCTGTTTCTTATATAATGGATGCTTATTATACCCAGAACATATATAGAAAGCATGAACACTGAATTTAATAATCTTGTCCATGTGCAAAAAAAAAAAAAAGTGCCCTCGTGACTAAGCCATACCCAACGTGTGATGGAGCATTCTCACGAGCAATGCAAGAACTAGAACAATTTATTGAAATTCTTTAACCCATTATATGCAAGACTATGTTATAGCCGCCGTAAGTAGGGTTGTTTGGTTGGTCAGTCGCCTGGCCAATGCAATCCGGGCCAGACCATCTAATGGCAGGCCTCTAAAACCGAAACCCCATTGAACTCTTAATACCGGAGCTCTTTGTTGTTTGGACTTGAAATCTTGGCTTAGTTTCGGGCCGGTTGAGCCTACGGCCTCGAGAGCTCAGGTTACATGGTTGGGGCCCAATAGCAAGCCAAAGGGATTATGTCTGGGCTGAACAGTTGGGCCGATTTGGAAGCCAGGCCTCTCGTACCCGTACCCCGTACCGCTTGATGAGGATGGTTCAGTTAAAACGTGGAACGCTGTTTTGCAGACACTTTCAGAACCAGTTCTGAAACGCTACGCACTCTCGTTTCTACTGCTTCAAATTCTCCGGGGCACGCCTTACAAATAAATCAAATAAACTCCTCTGAACTCATCAAACGTGAAAGGCGCGGGAGAGATAGTACACGAGTGTGTTGCCGGTGCTAATAAGCGCTCATGGTCATCTTGCCATACGTTGGTCCGATAATAGTTTTTTTTATGCCATTATTAGTAGTTGTTAGGACTCGTGGAGTTAGTAGTCTCCAGGACAGTCACATCGCCAAAATATTGAGGCCCTGATCGAGTTTCCCGTACCAGCAACTTACAGGGCAGCTGCCGCGTTCACTTTGCAGTGTGCTAGGCACCACTGCACCTTTCTTCCAAATTGTAGACGGACAGCAAGTCAGCAACACGGCATTATTCTGCCATTCACCGTAGCGTCGTTGGACTAGTATACCAAGCCTTTGGGTACATGAAACTGAAACGGATTAGGTGCCGCTTCCAACCCAGCTAGCAGTAGAGCTAGCTAGAAACATGCATGACACATATGGGTTTGGTACACCGGATCCATGCAATGATTACTCTATCGACAATTATAGTCTCCTCCATGGATCCATGCAATGATTACTCGATCGACAATTATGCGTGTTTGGTTGTAAATAAAATAAGTCTCCTCCCATGATTTAATTGTAGACCTGTCGTTCCTTCTGTTTCCGGCTGTACATTAAGTAAAGGTGAACCAACGAATCTCCTTATAAGTTAGTGGTGTTTGGCAAAATAAATCACTTTTAACTTATAAGTAGGTGACTTATATCAGACAACATGTTAAAGACCTGTCGTTCCTTCTGTATCCGGCTGTACATGCACGAATCTCCCGTTCCTAACACTGCACATATCAGACAAAGTGAAGCAGTACATACATCTCTTATGCACAGAATTAAGAATTCCCATCAAGAATCAGAATCAGTGTATGAACCGGCCGGTCCTAGCAACTCTTGATAATACACGCCACACCGTGCGATAAACTGCCAAGAGGGCGTTGCTTTTTTAATGGTTCACTCGTGATCCGAACCCTCCGTTTCTCGCATTTGCTCCGTAGCCATGTGACCCCTACATACCAAAGGCCAAAGCACCACGCCGACGGCCGCAACGGCCGTTGATCGAGGGCGATCGCCGCGGGCGCGCTGCCTTCCTTGGAGATTCTTTTCCCGTCTATAAATACCCCAGCACGGTGCTCCTTCCAGATCATCGAAACGCAAAACTCCTCCTGTCGGGCAAAGTAGCTACTACTGTAACTCTACTAGCAGCTAGCAACTATGGCATCCTTCTCCTCCTCCAATGCGCTCGCACTTGGTGCGCTCGTCTTCTCCCTCCTTGTCACGTATGGCTCGTGCGCTAGACCGGCGGTCAACTTTACCGCCTCCGACTTCACCGCCGATCCCAACTGGGAGGCGGCCAGAGCCACCTGGTACGGTGCGCCCACCGGCGCCGGCCCTGACGACGATGGTACGTACGTGTAGATCGACGACGTCGTTGCAAGGCGCAGGATCGTCGTATACTGCGTGCTGTGTATCGTCATGCATTGCATGTGCTGTGCTGTTGGCCTAACGCGCTTTGTCCATTGATCTGCAGGTGGCGCCTGCGGGTTCAAGAATGTGAACCTGCCACCGTTCTCCGCCATGACGTCGTGCGGCAACCAGCCCCTGTTCAAGGACGGCAAGGGATGTGGCTCCTGCTACCAGGTAGCTTAGATTAATTGGTCAGACGAAGATCCTTTAATTTGGTGCCAAAAACACCCTGCCTGCTCCGGCAAGCTCCAGCATAGTTTTGAATTTTGACTAATGAATGAACTCCGTTCTATTTTCTTTCCCAGATACGATGCCAGAAGCACCCTGCGTGCTCCGGCAACCCAGAGACGGTGATCATCACTGACATGAACTACTACCCCGTGGCCAAGTACCACTTCGACCTCAGCGGCACGGCGTTCGGCGCCATGTCCAAGCCCGGCCGCAACGACGAGCTCCGCCACGCCGGCATCATCGACATGCAGTTCAAGAGGTGGGTATCGCCGTGTCGGCGTCATGCGCAATTGCACATGCACTGCACGTTCTACAGAGCCACAAAACCACAATTTGCAGGGCCCACCTGAACAGAATATAAGCTACTACACCTGTGCTGCATGTGGAGCTCTTGTAGATCCACAGAAGTATTACTAGTTAAACTGTACCTGCTCCTATCTGTATAATTAATCTAGATTTTTGAGGACTGTTGTCGGATTAGACTAATGGATCGAAACATGTCACATGCAGAGTGCCCTGCAACTACCCCGGGCAGAAGGTGACGTTCCACGTCGAGGAGGGCTCCAACCCCGTCTACTTCGCGGTGCTCGTCGAGTTCGAGGACGGCGACGGCGACGTGGTGCAGGTGGACCTCATGGAGGCCAACTCCGGCAACTGGACGCCGATGCGCGAGTCCTGGGGATCCATCTGGAGGCTGGACGCCAACCATAGGCTGCAGGCGCCCTTCTCGCTGCGCATCACCAACGAGTCCGGCAGGAAGCTGGTGGCCAGTCGGGTCATCCCAGCCAACTGGGCGGCCAACACCTACTACCGCTCCATCATTCAGTATTAGCTCTGCTACGTACTGCGCTCTGATGATTCGGTGTCATTGGCTTTCACTGGAACTGTATGTAATTGTATCTTCGGTGCATAGGACTGCGGTGCCTTGACTAGTGTTAGTCGGTGAGACGTCAAGATATTGACAGAGTAGGAGATGAGGGAGCAAGTTTGGATGTGCTTTCCCGCTCACTGTCAGTACATGAATCAGTGTGATCAAGGTTATAAATTACTCCTATATATAAAGCAGCTTCACAGTGGTATTGAGCAGCTCAGGGGAATCTGATCTTAGACGTCCAAACCAGCAAAACTGAGTTGGTCAGTTTTTTTTTATAGTTCTCCCTCCGCCCCTAAAAAAAATTATATAAATTTCGCTCCTCAGAAGTTAAAAATTCTTTTTTTTTCATGTAAGAAGTTAAAAATTATAACTTTAACTAGGTTTATTAAAATGGTTTCCTTATTTATCCTATTGTATAAAATAAAGAATTAATATATATTTTACATATTACCTCATAGGAGTAATAGAAGATTCTTGCCTGGGTCTTCGGTTCTGATGTTAGTCCAGTGGCAGTTGCCTGTCATATGGAGTCCTTCCCGTGAGAGAATTGAAAAGCAAAGTAAAGTTTATCCAGCGGGAGATTATATCCTCAACAAACCTATCTACTACTAAATGACAATTAAAGGGACGCCAACCATGGGAAGGTGATACTGGTGATGGTAACGGTGAAGGTTCTTCTCTTTTTCCTGGGTACATAAAGATTAGAAGAAGGCAACCAAAACCTAGGTGATTTTAACTATCTGATCTAGTAATTAAATGAGCGGCTTATAATGATTTGTAAGTAGTCCAATAAAAACCTTTATTAAAAATAGTATCAACACCTATATCTTCCTACATATGTTTATTATTAAAAATTTAAAATATAATTTATAATTTGATTAGTTTAATGATACTTATTACACATCAAAGTATTAGTAATTTTGGGATTGTTTGAGGAGCAAGACTTCCAATTCTTTTGGAACGGAGGAATTAAGACCAATTACGATGGTTTGAGCCTCTAACTCAGCATGGAGACTTGCATTGTTGTCTTATTATTTTTTAACAGCAGCTGACGTGCTCGCCGAAAGCAAAACAGGGGCAATTTCAAGTTTTGTCATGTTCATAGAGGGGGTATCATGAGTGTAATGCACCGGCACGGCTGCATGTGATCGTGAGTGCCCAGGCGCATTAAGTCCTCAGCCCATAGAAAGACTTCTAAATTGCATAAAACTGAAATGTCTGCAGTGACAACTTGAGGACCGTGATTCCGTGGCTGAGAGCAGTGTTCTTGTTTCTTCAAAGTCCGATTCATCGCCGCAGATTTGGCAACCCGGCCCTGGAAATTGGAAACTGAAAAGGAACGTAATCATAATTCCAGCAGCGGGCAAAACAGGTCTATAATTACTGTGACGAGAACGTTACGGAATCATCCATGGGCTTCACTGCCGTGGGAACCGGGCAACCGGCAAAGCCGCCGCTTAAGCGACCTCAACCGAATTCACGCCGTGAATACTGAAGTCAAACCATCACCATCTCCTGTCACTTCCAATGACTGCAGCAGTCAAAATGTGGATGCTGAAGGAGTTTTACAGATTTAACAACACCCCCCCCCCCACCCCCCCACACACCCACCTCCCACACCCCACCACCACACCACACTCCCACCATCTTACATATTCAAATGAAGTCCACACCAAGATGATAAAAAAGGGAATCTTACATATTCAAATGAAGTCGTCACCAAGATGATAAATGAGTGGGAATCTTACATATTCAAATGAAGTCGTCACCAAGATGATAAATGAGTGGGAATCTTACATATTCAAATGAAGTCGTCACTAAGATGATAAATGAGTGGAACCGCTGGAGGCCGGACGTCCGATCAGATACCAATCCTACGAACCATGCCGTGGCCTCGACCGATTCGTTTCCCCCGCGCGCGTCTCTCAGTGCCCGTGCTAGCATGCCTCCGCCCATGCCTGCTTTTCGCGTGCCCACGCAGGGGCTGTTCGTGCCCTCTCCCGTTTTCCACGTGCATCCCGTGTGCAACACCCGATCTACTTTTGAAATATTCATATGCAACAGTCGTAACATACGTCCGAAGACAGACGAAACACTTGAAACATGTGTCTAACAGACCAAAACACTTGCAAAAACACTTAAAAACCATTGCAAACATACGCAACATCCTGATAAAACACTTGCAACATATATGTGAAACATATGCAACATCTAGATAAACACACTTGCAACATACGTCTGAAAAAATAGAAGAAACATTGGGGACAGACGCTTGCAACATATGTGTACAACCATTGCAACATCCCGATCTACTTTTGCAACATCCGTGTGAAACACTTGCAACATATCTCTAAAACATCTGGAACAATTAAAATGTACACTTGCAACATGCATCGTATCTCGACACGACCTCCTCCGCCATCTACATCGGGACGCCGCAGCCATAGCAGGAGGTGAGGCCGGAGGGCTACCGCACCAGGGCTCGACACTTCTCCTTGCGCTGGCGGCACCTATCGGTGTCGTTGGGCGGGGCAGGCAGTGGAGCAGGAGCAGCGGGACAGGCGTGCGGAGTAGGAACTGGAGTAGTGGTAGGAGCAGCGGGACGGGCGGCGAAGCAGGAGCAGGAGCAGACAGGGTAGGCGGCAGGAGCAATGGAAGGAACGGATGCGGGAGGTCTATTGGGCTGGTCCACTGGCCTAGGAAAAGGTGTCCGAATGGGACGAACGCTCTGCACATAGAATTTTTGATTCAAAATGCATCTTAAACCCAGTTGGACTCGCTGCGCCAATCAAAAACATTTGTGTTCCGCTAGCTGTGTGTAGAGCTGTCCATGATTTTTCTTTTTCGGACACAAAGAGATAAGGACACAATGGCTTCCCCTCGCGTCGCCTCTGAGGTGACTCGGGGCCTCCCACCGTTGCCCCTCGGGGCCCCTCGGGGCCAGCTGAAAGGTCCTTATTTGGTTTTGGTAATTGAGTGACAACCCTATGTAGACTAATTGTGTTTATGTGAGATACATATATGATTAGTCCATAGATACATGTGTGTGAGCAACATATGCCATGGAGGTGGAAATAGCTTGGAGATGTTGCAAAACTCATGCATGTGATGATGAAGGAGCTCATTGCACATGAGACATGACATTGAGTCATGTGATCAAGGTGGAGAAGATCAAGACATGACTTGGCTTGACGGACCGGTTGCAAGTGTGAAGGGCAAGTTGAGTGATGACTTGGCGCCGATGGACCGAGGCAACGGTGAAGAGCAAGTGAAGTCAAGATTGATGAACCAATATGATCACATGATGATATGAAGTGGATCATATCATTATTGATCGTGTTGGTGCATGTGTTGCATCGACATTGGAGGAGATGGAATGGAATGCGCAAGGCAAAGGTATAACCTAGGGCATTTCATTTCACCGGTCATAGGTGTGAAGAGAAGTTAATGACCGGGTTTAGGATAGATGGCTGTACTTTCAAGAGGGGCAAACTTGTTTGCATATCAGTCATCTAGTGCCACTTGAGTGATCTAACTCTGCATCGTTGCTAGGATCGAGTGGCGCAGCAAGTTGAGTGGTTAACTCCTTGAAAAATGTTTGTGAAAAGCTAACACACGTGCACAAGGTGTTCTACACTTGGTGGTGTTGGCATATTTGCAAAGGAGAAGAAGTTGGTGAAGAAAAGGGGTTGAATGCACTAGTCACGGGGTGACCGGACGCGTCCGATATTTATCTCAGGCGGTAGTGTTCCCGATGTGACCGGACGCATTCGGTATTCTGGCCAGGTGCGGGCAGAGTTGCCAAGGTAACCGGACTCTGGCTCGTAGTAGTGACCGGACGTTGAGCAATCACTGTTTAGCATCAGGTCATGGTGACATGGGGCGTGGGTGTTGGTCTAGAGAGGACCGGACGTAGGGGCACGTCCGGTCGCAGTAGAGCGGCTCTGGGAGCTCTCTGGACTTGACCAGACGTTGGCCCTCCTACGTCCGATCACTTCGCTGCAGTGCGTCCGATGCATCGCGTCAGAGCGTGTCAGAGAGGGCTGTTGGGCGGCAACGGTTACTTCGTTTGAATGGGACACGTGGCAGTTAATCAGTGACCAGACGCAGTGACTCGACGCATCCAGTTACCACACCGGACGCGTTCGGTGCACACGACCTACGCGTCCGATCATCCCGAAATCTGCCTAGTGAAGGGGTAACGGCTATTTTAGCTCGTGGCTCTATAAATAGAAGTGTTGGTCGGCCTTTGGTCGAGAGCGGTGGAGAGCTGAGCACACTAGAGCCTTGATGGCTTGTGTGGTAATGCTTGGGAGCCCTCTAACTCACTTGAGCTTGATAGTGTTTATCCGATCGAGTGAGTTAGCGATTCTAGTGCGATTGCA